GGTACAGTTTTTAATTTATATAAAGTTCTCTAGTCTGTTTTTGGTTGCTTTTTGTAAAGTATTAGTTAGACCTTAATTTTGTTGTTGAAAAGATGATAGTGCTCTCATCTGATTATAAAATAGAAATGGCTTAGAGATTCACATGTAGATAAAGAGAGAAACTACCCCTAAAATTATACCAATATCAAATTTCAAATTCCTACCCTTTTGTTTTCAGTTCATTCAGAAATATAAACAAGAAGCAGAATTTGCCAAAGGTAAATGTAAGCCAGAACAGCTCTTAAGAATTATTACAAATGTACCTTTAAAGCTAAGTAAAATACAGGGTATATTCTGGGATTCTTTTTTCAGGCATTAATGTTTTATTTTATTACCATTTGTTGAAAAGGTTTTTCGCCAAGCAAGAGCAAATACTCCAGCAATAATATTCCTGGATGAGATTGATTCCATCTTGGGATCTCGGGCACTCTGCAGAACTGGCCATGGTGTCTCAGAGAGGGTTCTCTCTGTGCTTCTCAATGAATTGGATGGGATTGGGCTGAAGGTTACAGAAAGAAGAGGAGGCAAGCTACAGCTTGAGGCTCAGTGCCAAGAGCAAAGTGACGAGGAAAGAAAGGTATTTATGCTCCCTTTTCTGTACAGGAAGAATGAGAAGTGCTGTCCAGTTATTTCAAAAATTTTAGTTGTTTGCATTCACATTTTAATCTTTAAATCTTTGGACTTAAAAACATGCAAGAAGCTGTTTTACACTGTCATAATTACTGGTTTTTAGAGGATACTGTATATAGGCTGCTGATTGTTTTTACATACACTGTTCCTCAGTGAGGCTTTGTTTGACCAAAATACCCACACAGGCATTACTAGTTGAGTGTTCATCTTCTGTCACAAAAATCCTTTTATTGGCACTAAAGTAATTTTTTAGATTGATTGTGTGATTTTTACTCTTAAGTAAGTTCCTCCCTGAGCTTACTTTTTCCAAGTACTTCTCCTACTTCATTTGCAGCTCTTTCTCACACATGATGCATACAAAAGCAGCACAGTTATGATCTGTTAGTTACTTAAACACAAACTTGTACCTTCCCTTGTCAGTGAATTATTCACAACATTTAATATTTAGCTTTTTTGTATATAAATTCTTTCTTATTATGATACTCTTTGGGGGAATAATTGTAGGATACTAATTTTTTTTTGCATATAAAATGTTCTTCATTACAATCTGGCCAAAGGAAAGTCTTTATGTATTGCCAAGGCAGATACTAACTATATTTCTTCTTTGTCATATAATCTGCCCTGCACCAAGGCATTTTTTTACCTCAAAAAAGATAAAATACTAATATTGAAGGGAAAGTAAAATGTAAAATTACATTCTCTTTTTGCCCTTCCCCTCTTCTCATTAGTAGTTAACTAATGTATTTTGATAATATCTATCTCAACCATGTTGCACTAATTTGTTTACATGATCTCTTACTCAGCTAGAGTTTCAGGAAACTTTGAACAAAGATTTCATGGTAGTTGCTGCAACAAATAGACCAGATATGTTGGATGATGCCTTGCTCCGTCCTGGAAGGCTGGACAAGATGATTTATATTCCACCTCCAGATCTGAAGGTATTACACATCCATGCATGGCTTTAAAGGGAGAGGTCTTAATTGCCAGCATGCTTTAAGAGCAAAGGGGGTATATTTCTGTAACATCCTTCACAACTGAGGGGTGTTTCACTGGAGATCAGTCAACAAATTCAAGGTACAATGAAAAAAAATTTAAAAGTAATAAAGATATTTGTATTTTAAACACCAATAACATTTTAACTGGTGTAGGTAGTTATCATATTGCATATGGAAAATAGAGAAAATTTATATTTACAAAATCAAGCTACAGTTAAGGAAATATCAAAATAAGTTCTGTCCTTGCTTCAGATAATTTTTGTATACTGTTCCTAAGGCTAGTGTAGCTATTTGTCCTGAGCTTCACAAAAAAAAGTTGTCCCAAAACATGCCAAATCAGGCCTGTTCAGCCTAAAATACTGTGTTTTCATGAAGCAAGGAGTGACTGTGAATAATAGACCTTAAATATATGAGACAACCAGAAGTGCATTATCTCCATTAATAGCATTTTATTCTTCCACCATAAGCAGGTAGTTTTGGTGCTTTTCTGGATTTTCCTTGGCTCTAATTTCAAGTTTGGTACTGCTTTGGAGAAAGATTTATTTTTAGTTTGTTGGGTTTTTTCTTGCATAATATGCACCATTTTGCAGGGAAGACTTTCCATTTTGAAAATCTGCACTGAGAAAATTCCATTAGAAACTGATGTGTCATTAGAAGATGTGGCAGTCCTGACAGACCTCTTTTCTGGAGCTGATATTGAAAACCTGTGCAAGGAGGTAAGAAATATTCCTGGCTCATCTGTGAAATAAACTCTAAATAACAACTTTGAATGAAAAAAGAGCTAACTCATAGATGTTACTGAGCCATCTGTAGTAGAGATGCTTTGCCAATTTGCATTGAAAATCCAAAGAGAATGGTTAAAACAGAAGAACTGACCAAGGGTTCATTCTTTAAATAAAAAGTTATGGTAACCTTACCTGGATCTTTATCTCTTGTTAAATAACCATAAGTTATACAGTGCTGTTTTCAGATGCTTTAACTAATGATCTGTTCCTTGTAAAATATTTTAGAGTACTTACAGTATTCTTTACAATTTAAAACATGATAAGGGCTAAGTTGTTTTTCTTTTTCTTTTAAAGGCTGCTTTGTTGGCATTGCAAGAGAATGGACTCGAAGCAACTGCTGTAAAACAGGAACATTTTGTGAAATCATTGCAGACTGTAAAACCATCTTTAACCATAAAAGACTTGGAATTTTATGAAAAATTCTCTAATCAAGAATTAACCTCTTGAATCTATAAAGGAGTGGCATAACTCTTTTGAAATATATTACAAAGATTTTGAAAAGGTTTGCATCTTTCCTGCTTTTTAACACTGTACTTACTGTAGTTTTCAGGGAGTGTGAAATACAGTAAAGTGTCACTTTTAAAAAGTTCTGTAATTTAAATAATGAATAATAAATTAAAATCTCGTTTGCTTTGGGTAGGTTTGCATCTGATGAAACAAGTAATTGAAATACTTAGATAAAACACTCTGGAACAGCTTAGTATTACTGTAGATTTCCTACTTTTAAGTACAAAAAATAGCATAATAAGAAAATTTTAAATGTGTTGTGAAGTCTTCAAAAGACAGCAAATACATAGAAAATAGAAATGCCTTCAGGAAATTAAATAGGAAGAAGTTTCACTCTATATAAAATGTGTTTTATATGTGCCTATCTAGGCTTACATTCTTACAAGCAGATTCCAAAATACAGTGGCAGTGAAAGGGGTGCCAGTGCTTAACTCCTTGGTGTAGGTCTGGAAGTCAGGGGTTTGGGGAGTAATTTTGGATTAGTTATTGCTTACTGTACAAACATTTGGATTGAGTAAGCAGATACCAAGTATGTAATCAACTCAGACTATAATTTCTTCTTTAGAAAAGGGAGTTTGCATAATGACGATTTCTGCAGAATTATTTTCCCCACCCAGCCATTCCTGGTCAATACATTTTTGTGGGTTGCCTTCTAAAATACACAGACACTTCTAAGGAAATTGGTATTACATGTAGGTAAGTGTGCATTTTCACTTACTAGAGGGAAGGTTTTTATTATTTTTTATTACCTTTTCTTTTTCCCAGTGAAAATGCTCGAGAACAAAGTACACCACTCTCAAAGACAGTTCCGTATTTTAGCCAAGGTTCAGAAATTATAAGCCCATTAACAATTATTTCTTTCTCATAACAGGCACACTAGGGACTGCACTGAGTGTGGTTTATAGTGAGATGGATCACAAAAGGAACTTCCAAGGCAGTTGGTGGCTGAGCAAGGCGAAAGGCAGTAGTAGAAGCTGTTGTAACCTAGGAAAGGGCTCAGATACAAACAACTGCTCTACAGCTTGGCTTTCATCACCAATTTATAGAAGGGACCATCCTGTAGATTTATTAGTAGCAACAAATAGAGAGTGCTCATAAATACACAGAGGTTTCTCAGCAGCAGTGCTGAGAAAAAGTATGAAAGCTGTTTTGCTTCCCAGTGTTTGAGAGTTTGCATTGGAATTGCTGCATCTCAAAGTTGTTACAGTAAGATGTTGCCAACTCTTCCAAGATGCTGCTGCTGAATTTCCACACCCGCTCCCTAGAAGGACCAGCTGAGCTCCTTGTGCCCTATCATGTCTGTTCCTTACTGCTGGAAGTAGCAGAACATGCAGTGCAGGCAGCCTCTCCTTCCTCTCACTGCTTTCCTGTGGGCAAGGGAGAAGGGGAGAAACCAATGGATGGAGTCACCTGCTCTCACCTCCAGCCTGCCCCTGGTAGTTTTGCTCAGAGAGGGATATTAGGAAATGATATTGGGAAGTGAGAGGAGCTGTGGAACACAGGACAGTGATGAGAACCTGGGCCTGGGTTGAGCTTTTGCTGCAGCGCGAGGGGACGCAGTGACACCGGGCTCCTCTTCTGGTCACTCTAGGCAGCTCTCCGAGCTCTGCAGAGGCAGCTCTGTCATCACCTGGGTGTTTGCCTAGATACCTGTAGGAGGGGACAGGCAGGGGGACAAAGGAGAAGCAGAGAAGCCAGGTTGGAGTGCTGCAGGCACGGGGAGAGAAGGGCTGGGGCGGGACCGGCACGGGCTCTGTCCAGCCGCTCCCTCCGGCACCTGCAGGGGGCGCTGCCGGCCCGCGGGCCCGCTCCGCGCCGTGCTGCCCCTCAGGGCCCGCTCTGTCCGGCCGCCGGCGGGCGCGCTGTCCCCCCCTCAGGGCCCGCTCTGTCCGGCCGCCGGGGGGTGCGCTGTCCCCCCCTCAGGGCCCGCTCTGTCCGGCCGCCGGGGGGCGCGCTGTCCCCCGGGGGTGCGCTGTGCCGCCCCTCAGGGCTTCGGGCTCAAAGAGCGCGGGGCGGGTCCGGCCGGCACCTCCTGCCGCAGCCAGGCAGAGCTGAGAGCTGTCTGAGCCGCTCCGCAGCCGCTGCCAGCATGAGCAAGGGCATCTTGCACACGCTTAGAACGAAAAGAGAAGTGAGTTGGCCTGAGGGGTCGGGGCTGTGGTTACCCGCCCGCCGGGAGGGATGCGGGGGGCTCGGGAGGCTGCACCGGGGTTGCCGCTTGGTTTCCCGAGGAAATGGGACACGCGTAAAGTTCATGTGTTAAAAGTGAGGTGTGGAGAAGGGTAATGTAGAGGTAAAAGTGAAATTCACATATTAAAAGTGAAGTGGTGTAAAGAGGAATATAGAGGAAATAGACAGGAACAGGTAATCCCTGCCGAGTTCTGTGTAACCCTTGCTCCCCTACTCGTGGGTCTGTAGCTGGGACATAAGATCAGCTCTTTTCTCTATTTTATCTTTCAGCTCATTCCCCTGGCCGGAATATTGTCCTTCGCAGCAGCTGGGGCGTTCTCTTTTTGTATCTATTCCCTATTCCGCAAATCTGATGTGATGTAAGCAAAAACTTATTGCTTGGAGCTTACCCTAACTTGTTTTATTCAACCAAATATTTGACTATCATGTTTTACACACAGGGGGAAAAAAAATTGAGAGAAAAAAATGAGCCAGGCACATGTTCCAGAGTACTGGGAGTATTGATAATGACTAAAATATCTGGAGATTGTAAATAGTGAGGAAAATAATTAATTTGGAGTGTAGTCCAAGTTATTTCCTAACTTTTGATTTAATAATTATGGGGGTTTTGCTTTAAGTATAAGAAGTTTTAAATGTTATAATTAAGAATGTCATATAATCACATTGGTAGATGAGATGCACGTATATTGCAACCAGGCTATTGACTTGTATATAAAGAACAGTGTTTGATAGTATTACAATGGTTTGGCTGATAATTGGAGCCAAATCCTATACTCTTAAAGGTTTTGGGAGTATATTTATTTATTTTAAAGTGATTGGAATAAGCATTTAAACTGTTAGGGTAAAAGCGTTAGGGTAAAAGTTCTTTGTGTCTTTATTCAGTTTTGATTTTTCAGCTTGCTTCCCTCACAATGATATGTGAACAGTGCTGGCTTGCTTGGTGCTTTAGAAGCTGCAAATAAAGCAAGCTATCATTGATTCCTATCCAGATTTTAAAATACAGTGCCCAAACCTGTAAACTTGTGTTTTAGGGAGCTCCTTACTAAAGTGAATAGCTCTACTGACAATAGGCTGCTCAAATGAAAATGTGTTCAAGGACACACCTTAAAACATAATGCCTGTTTTATCTTCTTTTAAAGCATTCACAAGATTGGCAGTTCAGAACCATGGGAAACTATTGATCCTGCCAAGCCTCAGAAGGTAATTTGTACATATAATATATGTATAAATAGCATAAATTTCCAACACAATTAATCACTTTTTTCAATGTGTAAGAACTAGTAAAATATGAACAAGAGAACAAGTGTAAAGTTGATGTGTATCTAGTTAAAAGTGGAAACAAATACTTATTTGATTACTTTATGTCTTCACTCTATTAGCTGATGATAGGGACCTCTTACACTGTAGGTCTGATCTTAAATTCATACTGCACTTCTGGTTGTTGTGCTATGTCCATTCCCACCCCAAACATCCATTTACTCCATTCCATTGATAACAGTGGAAACTTGGAGTATAAGGAAGTGCTATTTACTTTTAGCTTGTTCCTGAATTACAGGATTGAGTAAGAATGTTTGGGTACTGTAGCCTGAAGGAAAAATATCTTAATTTATTAGAGCACTTAGGATAAGGAAAAGTAAAATTATTTGTGTGATTACTTAATTAATATCCAAGTGATTTTGTTCAACAAATTATTGTATCATCTCCTGCATATTTCTGAAAGGAAAATGTAAAGCCACTAGAACTTCTTCAGCAGTAAGCTGATCTTTGATATGGGGAGATGTGGGAGTGGAGTAAATGCTCACTGGGATTTTCCTAACTTTCATATTTTCCATTTCTTCCAGCTGGTAACAATCAATCAGCAGTGGCAGCCTATAAAAGAGCTGGAAGAGGTCAAAAAGCTGACGAAGTGAGAAGTTTCTGTTGCCTCCCAAAGGTACCCTATGAATCTAGTGGAATCATTTCTGCACAAACTTGACTACTGAAATCAGTGTGCGGAAATGCTTCTGCTACATTTTTAGGGTCTCCCTACATTTTTTTGGCCTCTGGATGAGGAGTGTGATGTTGCTTTAGAAGCTGGCATACAGCATCCACATAGTCCAAAAATCTGAATCAAAATACTCATTTTCAATAAGCATTTGATGTAAATTTTTGAGTATTCAGATGGTGATTATGGATCAAAAAAGCCTTCATAGTTTTTGTAGAATTTCAGGATTTGTTTCAAAACACATTAGTTTTGCCATTTTATTAATTTTTAATAAAATAAATTCTAAATTTTTACATTTCTTGCAAATTCAAAAGCCTTTCTAAATTGGGAATTCTCATCTCCTTTCAGAGATACAGAACTTTCTGTTCTATACTTCAATGTTGTATGAAGACTAAAGGCATAACCAGAGGATGTCTTTGTATGGCAGCATATGTGGTCATACAGTACACTTCCATTCCTTCTCTCTGTTAGATGTGGGGACTGATTAACAAAACCAATGTTGTGCTGCAAATATTGAAACTTACCCACTGAGGAGTCCAATAGGTTCTTTATCCTTCTTATTTAATTCTTATTGTATTTGAAACTGCAGATTTAGAACCTCAAAACCTAAGGGTTAACCATGGCTAGAAGGAAAATGAAAATCAGGTAAATATTGTTCATTATTAAATTTTTTTGAAGTTACTAGAATTAGAAAATCTGCATCATCCAAAACTACACAGTGTTAATTTCTTCTTTTTGTGCAAGGCTGTTCAAGTGCAAGCTGCAATGTACTGCAGAATTAGCAATATTTTTAAAGATTTCTACATGCTATTAGGAATATCTCTTTTATCAAATAGAAACTAGCTGATTAAAATTAGGAATGATTCTATGAAGAGACTCTTTAAGCTTCTGTGTGTTTGATCATGGGTTGGCCAGGGAAAGAATGTAATGGGCAGGGTCCCAGTAAAATCATGAGACAATAAGTGCATCCAATGGCAGAACAGTCCTTTTGTAGATATTTTCTGTATGTGCTCTCTTCCAAGCAGTTTCTCAATCTATTCCACAGTTTATTTCACAGTGAATGGTCAGAATTCATAATCCTTTCTGTGAGGAAGGGAGCAAAAGTGAAGCAACTGCTAATTGGGAAAAGTCCCCTTAAATGAGTAATAGTCAAGTGCTTTAGTTCATTCTGCTGCAGCAAAGACAAGCTTCATTTAGAAAAGCTGTCTCCTTAATTCCAAGGTAGCTTGGCTTCAGAAGCTGTTTTCTTCAACTGAGAAAAAAATAATCTAAATGTTGCATAAATATTTGTTTATCTAGTAAGGATGACTCAGCAGCATTTATGTTTTAGATGAGAGGATCTACTAGTCTTCAGAATAAGCTTGTGTTTAAGGAATGACATTACAAGAAGATTGAATATCATAGAACCACAAAAATACAGAGCTCTGAGGAATGCAAGTTTTAAGTGTTTTAAAACAGAAAATATTTTAAAATCTTTCTCTGTATTTCCATATTTCTACTGGACTGTAGCAAAAACAAAGTGCCATGCTCCAAGTTGATGCATTAATTGTTCTTCAGTAAGTCACTTTTTTTGGCTCCAAATACTATGGCCTAAGTATCTGTCAACATTGGAATAATAAATGTAAGTAAATTTTAGTTAACTTTTGTATTTAGCCACATTTCAGTGATGTTTCTAGTAGCATATTAAGCAGTGTGACTGCTGTCACACTGTGTGACTGCTGTCATAGGTTGTTGCTTATTTCATCATGTCCTGAAACATAACAGCTGTGCTAATAAATCTGTTTTCCTTTGTAAGCTGTTCTGTTTTTCTTTATTAATATGGATTTCTGGGCAGGGTTTTCACACAGTCTAAGAAATCAAAAAAAATTTTTTGGCAGTTCAAAAAGATTATGAGTATTGTTAAAGCTCTTAGGGTTTTGTGTCTTTTCTGACTGTCCCTAAAAATGTGTCCTGCATAGAATATTTTTTCTTATAAGTAGCATACACCAAGAGCAATTACTGTGTCTCCCCAATCAGCAGCTCAACATAAATCCATAAAGCAATGTACAAGTTATTTCCTTGTTCTGCAAACAGTAAAGATTCAACTGGTTGAATTTTATGAGCTGATGTTTATGAGAACAGTAAGGCTTCCCTGATCTGTGTCATGCAAACCCATGAGTCTTAATTCCATGAACAATTTTGAGGCTGTTGAAATTATTTAACAACTTTCTTATTTCTCTCTATTTCCTTTGCTGTCTTTAGTCTCCTACTCCATTCTGCTCTTGATTTTGGTTTAGTTGATGTTGACTTTTTTAACAATCACTACCTTTGCTCACCCTAGCTAGTACATTTACATGGAACTATATCACTTCCAAATTTCATATTAATTACTAAGTTTAATAAAAATGGTCACTAGTTTGTTAGAGTTTCCAGTATAGATTGGAAGTCATTAGAAATGTGTTTTAATAGTTCTAATCACTATTAGAAATCCACCATTAGAATTTATGGTCATGCTTCTCTAAATTTTTCTATGTAGTCTGTATGTAAATAGCTTTCTGGAAGAAGAGAAGAATAGAAGGCTGCTTTTTGCAGTGTATATACAATGAATTGCTAATTTTTGTTATTACAGTAGTTCTTCAAGGCCTTAAATCTGCAGATCTTGTGGTGGTGTGGCAGAGTGTGTTGGGGTTTTTTGTTTCTTTGCATGTGATAGCCCCAGTGTCAGCATTTCTCCGTCTGCCCCTCTGCATTCCTCTGCCACAAGGTGCTATTAGTGCAGTTCTGCACTGTCTGGTTCCTTCAGTGCTGGCTTTGTGCAGAAAACAGTAACTTACAGAGGGGGCTGATGCACCTGTTGAAGGAAATGGTTCATCCTGCAGTTGTTGTCTGCCTTAGTGCAGAGGGTGGCTGTCCCTAGGACTGGCTGTGGAAAACAAACAAGAGTAATGGGAATGATTCACTGAATCCAGCCAATGTTTGGTGTTGGACACTTCTGGAAAAGCTTTCAGCTTAAACAAACATGGCACAGTTTTCCTTTGCTGTCTGAAGCCTTTGCTGTCTGGCACATCCACATGCCATACAGGAGCACACAGACAATGAAATCCCATAAAAAGTGTAACTGAAATAGAAATCAAAGCACTACAGCTGGCTTGGCCTGGGGCACTGGGTTGGTGGGTGTTTCCCCCCAGTGCTGATGTGAACAGGGAGCAGGCAGCTTGTGTGCCCACAGTTCTCTCCATGGGGCAGCAGCCATGGCAGTAATGGCCCCTGGGAAGCCGTGAGGTGACACCGCATCCAGAGCACCTCGGCCTGTGCGCCGCGCCCGGGCCAAAGATCACACACCCTCACCAAGCTGTGCCAGCCCTATTTATGCTGGACCTTGCCCAGGTGAACAAGGGGTTTAGTTTAATTAGCATTTACTTTTAGATAATTTTGTTGTGCATACGTTCTGGCCAGAGCCATTACTGGGGAGGTGTTGCCCTTCAGGGCTCACCCAGGACATGGGAGAGCCCCTCACAGCACGGGGAGCCTGGGGCTGGGACAGATTTCACCCTAACAAGAGAGAGTTGTCCTACAGCATCACCGCCGTGCCTGTGTGGGGACTGAGGGCCATGTGAGCAAGGTGTGGGAGTGGGGTGGCAGAGCACTGCTTGGGAGCCCTAGAGACAGTTTTTCTGGGTACCAGGATATAGGCCAGTGCTGGCCTTTGCTGCCAGGTTACCAAATAGTTTAAATAAACCCTCATCTCTTACCAACAGGGGTATGACAAAGGGTTTGGTTTGGTGTTGTTTTTCACATTTAAGATTTCCAAGACTTCCTGGTGTGCCAGGCTGGCTCTGTGGCCTCTGTTCAGGGGTTGTGACACTGCACAGCTCTGTCCTTTATCTGATGCTGCTGCTTCACAAACAAGGAAGTAAATGCAGAAAGTCCTGATCCCTGGTAGTAACAGAAAAATCTTATCAGTTTTCCAAAGAAAAGCAGTCATCTACTGCTAATAAATCACCAATTTACTGCATTAAAAGAAAGGGAAACATGTTTAAGCTGTTAAAACTGTTTCATTTAATGATGCATCTTTCCCTTCTGCTGTGACTTTTATAATTCAATAAAGGCTAAATTTTTTTGAAGACTGTTAGCACTGTGCTGCCCATGCTGTTAACATTATTAAATATGTTAGCATTATGCTGCCATTACTGTGTTTAGTTTTCCTCTTGGCAAACTTTGAATGAAGCATGCTATGGTCAGAAAAAATTAATTCATCTTCAAGACTGCAGTATCCACCTCACTCCCTAAAGCAGAAATCCAAATCCACAGCACAATCCCAGTCACAATGACTTGCAGTTCTAGTCATTGCCTCATTGCCAAACTTTTGCCCATAATTTCCATGTTACAATAGCATGTTTTACAAAGTAGATGAAAAAACATCAGTTTGAAGTTAGGTGAATGTTTTATACTGATTTCAGGGAGGCATGAAATTAATACAGTAAAGTTTGCAGTGGTTGTGTATTTGTACTAGTATGTGTTTTTTGAAAATTCTCTCTCAAGAAAAATTAAAACATTTAAGAACTGGGCATGTCTGTGCTCAAGTTCCTGTATTTTTATTAGTTCACAGAGGAGGCGTTTCCACTACACAAATCAGGGTGTTACAGGGAAGTTGGTGTTTGAGGGTGTCACTTCTCAGTAGGTGTAAAGGGCACAGGTGTACACCCTCTGCAATAAACAGAATTACCCCCAAAGTCATAGGTGGGTTCCCTCAATAAAGAACCAAAGTGTTTGACCTTCCTGTCTGCTTTTAGAAATCCCCACACTTGTCTGGCTGGCAGTGCCACAGGTACAACCTGCATTCCTTAAGGAACAGTACAGCACAGGGTATTGCTGTAGCTACAGTACATTTGTTGAAAGGAAGTGTAATCATTTACAAAAAGCAAGGGCTAAATGAAGTTCTTTATCTACTGGGATTTTTTCTTCTTCATTAAACAGATAAAAGAAAGTATGGCAACCCAACAAAGCAGGGCGATGGGGGAAACGCCAATATTCTTTTTTCATACAGTAATGAAAGTCTTTGATGTGGGCTAGACAGGTAAAATATGCCTTGTTTAGGAGAAAAGTGACTGTAAAACCATCAGATGTCTTAGTTGAACTGTAAAGGAAATTAGTATTGATTTCATTTCTGATCACCACAATTTGCTCCAGGTACAGTAGTATGTTCCATACTTGGTTGCATGGTAGTGTGATGAAGTCCAATGTTCCCCAGTTGCTATCTGCACTACCCACATGACCTGGCTTTATATTTTCTTCTCTCCTTCCTTCTTTTGTACACAAACACACCTTGTATAATAAACAAAATATGAACTCTTAAAAAATAAAAAGAAATTTTTAAAAAGCCATGCAAACAACCCTGCAGTATTAATACCCCTGCTTAGCCATAGCAGGGGGTGGGCTGATTAGTAGGGTTTAATTTTGTTATTACTCCAACTCTGTGAGCAGCTTCCTTCTAGCTCTGACAGCTAAAATTAGGAACTAGCTCTTCTCTTGACCCTCTCCTCAGTGCAATCTCAGATGTAATAAGTCTGTGGAAGAAAAATATTCTGCTTTCATTGCTGCTTTACAAAGACAGTTAATAGAGTTAATGTAACGAGATATCCTGCATAGCTATTCACATCTAAAACATATCTTCATTTACAGCTAAATGCCCATGAACCTTTAACATTTGATAAGCCGAGAGTTACTGTACTTTGATTTTTCTATTATATGACTTGAACTTTGCTCTGTGGCAAGTTGAGGAAGCTAGGTTGCTTGAAAACCATCCTCATTAATTCCATCTAGGTTCCGTTTCAAGCAAATAGAAAGAAACCAGTGTGTAACTGGTTGGGCAATTTGTTTCCAGTTTAAGGTGTGTCTCTTCTGCAATAGCTTAGAAAATACAGAATTGCTTAATAGCTTCAAGAAATGAA